CTTTCGATGATAATTACTTAAAAAGAACTCAAGCGAATGACTGTCAAGCGAAAGAGATCTTTCCTCAAATGAACCAAGTGACCATTCCATTGGCTAATCTATATGAAGAATTAATGCTTCTTTTTGATGAACCAGAGAAGGTTATTAATTCTGAAGCGAAAGCAACTGACAACAAGGTAGACGAATTGAAGAAGATAATTGATGAAAGCACTCCAGTCTAGGGGGAGTCTTCTAACTCCAATACAAGTCCCCAGAAGGAACCTTTTGCACCACCGAAATCCAATGATCCTCTCCATGGGGAGGATTCACCTTCAAATATTGTACACGAACGACCAGTAGAAGGTGAATAAGAGGATCCAGTCTTTGAAATTAACTCATCATTCGAGCAGGAGAATACATAAGTGAATGATGATACAGATGTTCAATCAAAATTTGAAGAAGTGAACGTTGAATTAGATCCTTCTTATGATCCGAACTACCCTCCACTAACAAAATGGACCAGAGATCATCTGAAAGCATAAGTGATAGGTGAATCGTCTGCAGGAGTTCTTACAAGATCTCAACTAAAAGCGAAACAGACTGCTTTATTCTCTCAAGTGGAGTATTGCATGTTTAATTCGTTTGTCTCCAAGATAGAACCTAAAATTGTCAATACTGCTCTCGATCACTCCAATTGGGTATAGGAACTGCAAGATGAACTCAATGAGTTCGAAAGAAATAAGGTTTGGAGATTGATTCCCACTCCACCGGATGCATCTGTGGTTGGTCTGAAATGGGTGTTTCGCAACAAATTGGACAAAGAAGGCAATGTTATAAGAAACACAGAGAGACTCATGGTTAAGGGATATTTAAAAGAAGAGGGTATCGACTATGAAGAAACCTTCACACCTGTTGCGAGGTTGGAATCAGTCCGCGTATTTCTGGCATATGCAGCACATAACAACTTTGAAGTGTTCAAAATGGATGTCAAATGCGCTTTCCTAAACAGAGAATTAGAAGAAACTGTATATGTTGAACAACCACCTGGATTCGTGAATGAGAAGTATCCTGATCACTGCTATATTTTGGATAAGGCAGTCTATGGTCTGAAACAAGCTCTGAGAGCCTGATATGAAACTATTACTCGCTTCCTCAAAATGTCTAAATTAAACAAGATTCGGTTGACCCAAATTTCTTTCGCAAGAAAGAAGGAGAACACTTGATGATCATCTAAATTTATGGTGATGACATCATCTTCGGTTCTAATAATCCCAACCTCATAGCTGAATTCCGAAAGTTGATGGTAACTAAGTTTGAGATGAGCTCAATGGGTCCTATTAACTTTTTCCTTGGATTGAATATAAGACAGTAACTAGAAGGCATTTTCATAAATTAGGAAGCATACACGAAGACCTTACTGACCAAGTTCGACATGATAGGAGATGGCAACTAATTTAGGTATCACTTCATTAAGGATCACGTGAAAGATGGCAACATCAAGATACACATCGTAAGTTCCGGTAATCAGTTAGCTGACATATTCACAAAGGCCCTTCCTGAGACAACCTTTAATAGAATTCTTCTAGGGATAGGAATGATGGAAGCTGAATCTATACCAAAACCAATTTCGCACTAATAAGGAAGTAACTACAAATTGGTGCGAACGTTTGTAGTATTTCGCAGAAAATTGTTCATTCGCTGTTTTCTTTATTGATGCGAATGCTTGTAGTAGTTCACAGTTCTTTGCTCATTCGTGGTTTGGTGTCTCAAATCCTTTTATACTTTACGTATACTTTAGCTTATCTTTGTTTCTTTCTTACATATCTTTTTTTTTTTTTGTTTATTTTAATTCTTTTTCAGAAAAACTCAAAATCCAAAAATAATCTTTTTTTTGTTTTATTTTTTTTCAGATAAACAAAATTACATAAATAATTTCTTTGTGTTTTTTATTTTTTGTTTCATTTATTTTTCACATATCATAAAATACCAAAAATATTAGACACATATAAAGCCCATGGAGTATGTTCATGATTTCTATCAATTCGGGTGATGGGGCATGTATAAAATTCTTTATCTTTGTATTAGCTAAGTGTCCCGAAAAGCATGCCATTGTATGTTGTCCGAAGCCTCAAATGACTTTATGTGAAGCCTTAATGAATCTAATCTACCATCCGTTTCTTCCCAATTAGGCTGCTAAATTCACATTAATCACGAGCTACCTTACTCTTCTCACATCGAGTTAAGAGTCATCTACTTGGTCATATTTGTTTAGTAGAGGTACTTTCGGTTTTTTAACCACCTTCATTCTTCTCCATTTGCCTTCGCACTCATAATTGTAACCCTTGAGACTCTCAACTATACCACTGAGGTTTATGGTTACGAAACATATGAGTTTATGATCTTAGCTTCATTCACCACGAACTGAGTGAAACCCAAAATCCAACACACTTAAATGGATTGAAAGTGAACAATTAAAAGTTCTAGATTTTCACCATGGAATTAACGATAGCCACTTTCGTGGCTTGTACCTAGTAATCTCATATATTTTGCGCGATCTTTATGAAGTGTTCTATCAGCAAGTCATTTCTTCCCAAAAAATCCAATTTTATTTTTGTTTGAGATTTTAAAGTTTCTCTTGTGACCAAAATAATTTCAAACCTACTCGTTCAACTAACTACACTTGTCATACGAGTACTTTATCCGACATTCGTTCTTATATCAAGTTCATTGTCTGGTTGGAGGGTTTTCCACCCATTGAGCCGAATTAAAAGAATCCTTTCAGTGTTTCTTATCAGAAATCTGATCATATTTCAACGAGAATCCACATAAACACTTATTAGTCTCTCTTGAATTTGAAGGAAGAAATCTATGCCCAGGATTAATTGTTTTATGTCTTCGTATAGACATCACAAATTTCCCAGATATACTTTGTTTTATTTCTTTATCTTTGGCACTCTTGCACGAAGGTCCTCATGATCTTCTGAAAGTCTTGTTCGTGGTTCTTAATATTTACTTTTAGGTTCACAATGTAGCTCAAGTTTTCTAAAAACGAAGGTTTGCCAAATTTGGGACAAAGAATGTTTAACTGCGAAAGATGGATGATGATGCAAAATTTTTTGGTGATAAGAATTGAAAAGGGTGGGTGCAGAATTTGAAAGGCCAGCTGTTTTTCCGCCGCATGATGCACGCTTCTGACATATACAATTGTCAAGTCGCGCTTTTTCAGGCAACATTTCAGTACCCGATATAATCTCTCTCCGGATTTCTCTCACAAATCGATTAGTATATAAAGGTTTTAACGGTTCCTCTCCCATTATCACTTTCAAAATCTTCTCAAAAAGATATCCGGCAAACAAAACACTCTCTACTTTTCATTGTCTTCTTCAAAGCTTCAACAATGGCTACTTTATCATCAGCTCATGATGAAACAGTCCAATTTGCTATTCTGGCCGTCAAACCGAATCGGAATCTCATCATAGATCAGGAGCCTTGCAAATATGAGCCATATCTTTTGCCGATGATTAAGTGTCTCAAATTCTCTCCGCTGGTTCATGCTCTAACAAAAATGGATGATGTTCCGATGTCCCTTCTATCCAAGGTGTATTATTCCGAAAGCTTCGTCAAGGAGGAAAACAAGATCATATTCGATTACCATGATCAGAAAACATCAATCACCAAAGCGAGATTATGTTCTCACCTAGGGCTTCCACAATCAGAAGATATGCTCAACCCTGAAACGATCGATAATGCTGCTCTCTTGGAGATGTTTTATCAGATGGGGTACAAGGAGACTCTATCCATGGTCTCAAAATTTCACAAACCCAATCTACCCCCATAATGGAATGCTTTATTCACTCTTCTGTTCAAAGAGTTTTTTGAATGGATTACATGGCCAAACTGTGCTAGTAAGTTGTTCATGACTCTTATTTACGGCCTCTATACGGGACTAAATATGGATTTTGGAGCTGTTCTCTAGGCTCAGGTGATACAAAGTACTCTTTAAACAACTCGTCACATTGAGATTTCTTCTGAAAGATTCTGGTGCTTGATTGTTTGCAGGGATATTGTCAAGCAAAACATTCTGACGATGAAGGATGCTCTTGTTTTCTCTGTTTCAACTTTCCACACCACATGGATAATCGTCGCAGATAACTCTAAATTCTCCTTCATTGGATCTATACCAGAGGCCATGTTTCGCAATGTGTTAGTTTCAAGTAAATTTTTGGAAAGGTTTCGGAAACTTACCCCTTCGGGGTTCCGTCCACTGACTGAAGAAATGCAAGCAACTATTGATGTTGCTGATAAACCAAAAAAGGGATGTAAGGGCTCTAAGAAAGGTGAGAAGAAGACTGTTGCCAAAGAAGGTCCATCCAGTGCTGTGAAACCTTCTCCTAAAAAGCAAAAGGCACCAACAACATCTTCTACTTCTGTTCTGCAAAGAAGAAAACAACCTACTCGCAAAAGAAACACCCCTACACCATCTGAAAGTGAAGGCTCAGATTCTGAGACTGAATCCGACATTCGGATTGAAGAAAATCAACCCGTTCATAATCGGGAGGAAAAACGAGTTCATAACGAGGAAGGAGAGCATGTTCGCAATGATGAGTCTTGAGTTCGCAATGAAGAAGAGACTACGAACCGTGAGGTAGATAAAAATCTCACTAACTCTGTTCCTTCACCCCCTCCTTACCAAAAAGTACTTCAACCCCTTTCACAATTGCACCCTGTCCTCCTCCTGTTTCTTCATCTCAACAAACAAGTATTACTCTCTCCACCCCATCTTAATTGATTCAACTACACCACCCATTTATTCAACGAACCCTGAAGTCACAGTCAACGAATCTGATACGGGGGCTAACACTTTAGTCTTCACCACCCATGTTTCTCCACCCATATCCCGTATTCGCAAAGATAATCCAGAACTGATTTTTAGAGATGATGTTGATGATGAAGATGACCTTGACGGATTCACCTATAGTCCATTTCAAATAAGGATTGAAAGTGAAGATGAGGCCATAGTTATGAAAGGGAAGTTTAAGTCCTTTCATGAGAAAATATACCAACTGCTTCTAGCCTCTAAGGCATCCTCTTCTGAAGCTTACTCAAAAGAAACGATTAAGTCTTTGTTCCAACGAATCACTAAGGAACATGCAGAGAATGATGCGCAGATGAACAAGGCAGTGTCTGAGTCTACTGAAGTTTGCAAATCTACGACCGAAAAAGTAGATAAACTAATCTCTGGAACAACCACTTTCATGGAGAATTACCAAACCACCTACAACAACAACACTGCATTTGTGAATGAAGCTCTTCAAAACTTGGGTGCTATGTTCATAACTAAGAAGAAAAACTTGGAGAAGATTCACACTGGCTTGCAGCAGGATCATGCCTCATTTCAAACATCCCTCACTTTGCAAATTACAATGCTTCAGGATGATTTGGCGATGGAGAGTAAGATTATGAATGGTCTTGCCAGAAATACAAAAAAGGTCAAGGTGTTAGCTTTTAAGCTTCAACATTTTGAGAAAAAGGTCAAGGATCTGCTATCTGAGAGGGTGGTTGTGCGAAGCTGCATTTCCAATGTCACTATCTTGCTCTCAGATATAATTGAGACCAGGGACTCAATGATTTCTGTCATTGTTCACAAACACTTGGCTGAAAAATTAAGACCTATATTCACAATGTCGCACCATCTGCAGGGTGTTTCTCCTCAAAGTTCTGATCAGAAACAAGGGGGATAAGGTGGATTTGGAAAATTTGAACCTCCCAAAGTCCCAGCCAAGCCCATGATCAAGAAAGAACTTAAGGGCAAGGAAAAGTTGATTGAAGATGAGCCCATAATTGATGATGACAAAGATGAAGAGCCTAATCAAGTTGAACTTAAAAGGCGGAAGGCTGGTGATGCTGAGCTGATTGAAACTCAATGAATCGTAAGGGAGGTTGAGGAAAAGGAAAGGGCAGAAAACGAAGCTCAAGGCACACTCAAAAGCAGAATGTTATTATTTACAAAGTGGACGCTAAAGCGAATCCATCATGATGATGTAGAGTTGCCAAGCCATTATTGGTTGGATCCTGTTGCATCCTTTGATCTTCAAAATTCTCAGGATTTGCAACTCGATCTTCCCATTACTCCGAAAGCTTTTAGGTTTCATGCTTTCGTGAAGGTTGTGAATGCTCCTTTCACAGACGGTGCAACTGATCAATTGTTGTTCTCTTTGTAATTGAAGCACATGAAGCCCCAATATGAAACTTGGAGTGCACATAAAATAGTTGTTGTGAAGGTCAATGGGCTAATCGAGACTGAAAGCTTACCTAATGCGAAGTTTAAAGTAGCGAGGGTTCTGCTTGTCAAGCCTACAAATTCACCCTCACAGACTTGCCATGTTTGAATGCTGATGACTGGATTGTAATTTACAACATGTTGTTGAGAGAGAAAGAGAAATATGAACATGTTATGTCCCATATCCAACTAATGCTCAAGTCTTATATTCAAGAAGTTGGAGTGATAGATGTGGATATTGCTGCAGTTCTAAAGAAGAAGCCGACTGTTGTTCCCAAGGAAGCTCCAAAAGACTTCGAGAAATTAAAGCCAGGGAAGATATACAAGGAAGGATGGTTCGTAGTGTACCGGTCTAGAGAACGACCAAGAGCTGATTTTCGCAAATCTTACTTCTATCTCGAAGACAAACATCTGTACAATACTGCATGTTGGAATTTATATTGAACTTGATTACCAAGTTCAAGGGTAACCACAAGGATGGCGTCAAGTGCTTTTTAGATATGATTATGTGGTATATCCCTGTTTGTAAGATGTTGCTATGCTTTATTCCAAAAATATATGAAGTGCAAAAGCGAATCGATGGCTGATGGGCTATAGCCTCAATTGATGAAACGGGGGAGATTGTTAAGTATTTAGTTACTGTGTCATTGGGCTTTGTATTTAGTCTGTTTTGTAAATGGGTTGGGCCTGTCCTCATGTATTTAATTCTAGGGTTATGGTATATATGGTGCATGCATGCATCTTATTCTAGTTAACTATTTTTATCCATTTTGTAACCCTAGCACGCCTCTACAGTTGAAATTCTTCATCGAGTTTAGTTGAGGCGTGACTTTTAATCATTCAAAATTTGTTTGTTTACTATTGTGCTATTGCGTACCAGTTTGAATCTTATCGGTCTATAAGATTTTAATCTCTACAAAAAGTCAACTTTCTTTTACTTAGACCCGATTCACAATGTTTTTTAGGAATAAGAGCTGGTGAGTTTAGTAATATTTGAACTACTGGTTCCCCCTTGAGCAACACCCATGGAACAAGTAATCATAAGTAGTCCGATAACAAATAATTAGCTGAAAATGAAGAGAGGGATATTGTTCTTCACGTTTCCATGAAAGGATTTTGTATGTAGAGGATATCATTGGAACCAACAAATACTTTGAAATTTGGCGGAGTCCTATAACGAATACATTCACATGACATCAGTTTTTGATAATATTTTTGAATGTGATAATGTTTCTGATGCTCATGTCTTATTTTTCATTTATTAGGCTTCAAGCTTCAAGTGCAAACAAATATTGGGTGGAGTTGGTGGTTAAATTAACTGATAAAGAAAGAGCAAACCTGGAGGTTATATGGTTACCTTCAAGAATTTCATTTGCACATTAATTCAATTTCAAAGATATTATTTTAAATAGCTTAATTATTTTAGGTAGAAGGAGTCTAAGTCAGACATGAGTGAAAACGGTTGCGTTGATCGTTTATTTGTTGCTTATTATGGTAAAAATGCTTAATCTAATGATGATAATGTGACAATTGTGAATAAGGCGTCATAAAAAAGTGCCACTGCTAGAAAATAGAGGAAATTCCAAAATAGTTCCTTCAACTTCTTAGTTTTAGCATGTTTACTCCAAAATTGAAGCCCTTTTCAGTTTTGGTCGTTATTTCAAGGTTTAAGATACACAAATCCATATGAAACCTTAAAACAAGCACCAAGAGTGAAAGATGTTTCAATGTTGGACATCAATATAAGTTTAATCTTTGGCTTTTACATGCTACATATCAATAAAGAAAGGGATGTGGTGGTTAAACCACCATATTATTGATCATGCTGATTTACAGGTGTTTGTTTTGTAACTTCATAATATTCTTGCTCATTATTTGCGTTGTAAAAGATCAAATATTAAAAAAACTCATGAATTTTTACAATTTTTTGATAGATGGGATAACGATATGATTAGTTTAGTTGCCAAGAAGCAAGAGGAGAGGAAGATTGCAATTTATTTTAAGGCCGATGAAACAAGAGAACGTAAAATTAGGTAGTTCATGCCCAAGTTAACTGGATTGGATGTTGTTGGTAGGAATATCTTCGAAGTCAGTGGGATTTGTGTGTTTTTCAGTTGTTAAAGAACACCTTAAAAATATGCGGTTAATATTATAGGTTTGGACTTAAAAGTAGAATTGGGACATATGGATCCAAACGACATTTTTAATGTTGGTAGATATCCTTTCTTAAAATTTGTTTATATACAATACATAGCTACCACATTGACACATTTTCCATTGTAACTCTCTATCCACCGAACTACTTGTGGTGTTGTTTTTATGTACAACTAAGTAGTGGTTGTTTAATTTCTCATATTTCTGGTCGCAAGGTCGTCGGTATGAAGGATCGCTATCCAATCCATTGTCAGTTTGTTTACTTCATCTGCTGATCTGTTTCCATTTATGGTTATGAATTCAGTCCGAATTATGAGGTAATTATGATTGTTTGGTGTTCGAAGGACGATAATGGACCGTTAGCTACTTCATAAACATGTCATAAATCTTCCTAGCAAGGACTGTGATGGCATGTGGGAAAGGTTACAATTCAAGTCCTATTTTAATATTTATAATAAAATGATTTGAGTTAAAGCTGATAAAAGATTTGATTTTACAACTTAGTTTATCAAGCAACGCTTACTGAAATATGCAACCATCGTTTTACTATTCACTAAAATGGGTATTGATCCTTTAGTTGTATCATGGAACTGGTAAGGTTTCCTCCTTGTGGAGTCATTTATTGTTCAAATTGATCTTGCAAAGAGACCTAAAATTCCAAATTGATTATGCTCATGCTTTCACGAAATGATAATATATTTAAGAGCTACATGTCATGACTCAAAGTGGTCAAACTCAGACCCCTTCATGATTCGTATGCATGTATGCGTGTTTACGAAACAAAGCGATGGTTGCTTTCCTTTTTTGCATTTTTTTGTAGGTATCGGTAATTGTTCGAAATTTATTAAGAAGTGTTTATAAAATTCGATAAAAGTCATGTGTGTAATGTATGAACAAAGGAACAAATGGAGGCATGGAAACCAATTCTGGATGGTGTTTATGTCAAAGGATAGTATTTCAAAAATTTCCCAAATATAAACTATTAAAACAATATACTATGCAATTAAGAAGTACCACAATGTACATTCATTTTGTTACAGTGTTTGTAAATGGAGGAATAGTAGAGAATAACAACATACTTTACTGTGGCTACCAATTCAAACAGTGTACTATAGTTTCTCATAAAATCGATACTTTCCAACCCTCGCAACGCGGGGGATACTTTCTAGTTAATCATTAATCAAATATTACAGTTTCTAATTAATATATTATTTTCATAACATATTAATAAATTCATTTATTTTGATTTCTAATTAATTTATTAATCATATAATAAATTAATAAATCAATCTCTCTCTCTCTCTCTCTCTCTCTGTCTCCCTCTCTCTCTCTCTCTAAAAGTCATCCTTCTCAATTACTAGGTTTGAGGGCAACCCAAAATGACTTTGCTAATAATTCATGATTATACTAATTTAGTTATTAACTTAGACACCTAATCCAACAATAGATACTACACATACGGTTTTACATGCACGTAGAAACTATAGTATGAGCTTTACTCTATGGGCTCATGTATCCTAACATACATGGATACATAATGGAATACATAATATAGTGAGATGAACTCACATCGACAATTAATCTAAAGATTAACAACTATGTAGACGATCCAACTGACGAGCAATGAGCCTAACTAGTATTAACCTATAATACTTTAACTTATTGATGTAACATCCATAAAATTCATGAAAATTTTAAACTTTTAAAACCAATCCACAAATCATCATGGTTTATAAAATAGTTTTCAAAAAAGGTTTAATATCAAAGTTTTCCCAAAATCATAAAAAAAAACACGAGGAGGTGCATGATCACACCTTTACCTTCTCGCGATCATCTGAGGTACCTAAAACATAACCCAAAATTGTAAGCCCAGAGCTTAGTGAGTTCCCCCAAAATACTAATACATCACATAATCATAATAATAATAGCAAACAACATGCATCTCGATCCATCAGTATGACTGGAATGCCCCATCGGCCTACAGTCTACCTGGTACGCTCATAGAACCTACAACATGACTGGTACACCACACCAGACCTTTAGCGTATCTGGAATGTTCTCTGGGAATTTGGCCTGACTGGTACGCCCAAATGGCCTTTAGTCTATCTGGGACCCCCTGGGTCTGTTGGCCTTTAGCACAAAGCAGGACTGCTTCAACCCAACACACCATCACATATCAACATGTACCTTATCAAACCCTAGCTACCATATATACAGACAACCATACATATCTAACAGAACACTAAGCATATCATCATCCTATATACCAGGATACAAATCTAACACATCACCACAACACACAACTTG